CTAATAATTTATACAACAGTTTTGCATGTTGTATCATTTAACATATACAAACATCCACTGTGTTCCTTTGTTTTTATTATGCTCACAAACAACATTTTCAAAATGAATTTAAGAGTTTAATAATTGATGTAATTATTGTTCAATTTTTTAAGTTTGATGTGTCCTGATGATTATGTTGTTTATAATTATTAGAAATMATAATGTATTGAAAATGATCATGTTATTAAAACTATTCAAATAYAATTGTGTGAAATAGTATACAATAATAATGCATTGGTATATTTGTGGGGGAGAATATTGATTATTATATTATTAATATAAATCCCTGTCGATATAAAAATTCAATTTTTATTATTAAATTTTACATTTAGGAATGTCCGTAATAATGTTTTTAATTTTTACATTATAATTAATTTAATCAAAAGCTAAGTCATTCTTTTAATTTTTTAATTTTTACTAATTGCTTCTATTTGGGTGTTTTGGTATTTTAATTGTAGTTTATTATGATTTAATTATTTTCATATGATTTAAGTTCAAATAATTTCCAATATTTTTTAAATCACATTTTATTCAATTATAATAAATTTGTTTTCTATTTGATTTCATTTATGTTTGTAAGCTATAAATTATAATATTGAAAACGTGGTTGTGGTCAAAAGTGGGACAAAACCTTATTTAGATTAGTTAGACATATTTTTATATCAATATACTTAGTATAAAGAAATGGTTGTACCAGTTAATAGGTACTACACATTGAAACAGAATTCCATAAATTAATGGTTCAAAATTAGATTTTGTGTAATAAATGTTTAATAACTTAAATTTATATTTTGTTTCTCATTAAATAATGTTCCTATTTATAAATTGAGAACTTGCAAAAAAATTAATGGCATAATATTATAGTATCATAAACAATTACCTATTATTAGCAGTTGAATATTTGTGATATATTTATTTCAACTTTTTTGTTTTTAATGTTATAAGTTAACACTTGACACTTTAGTCATTAATATATACATTTAGTATTATATTCTAATGGGACGCTTAATAACAAGCACTCCCTGGTACATCACTAATGAATCACTACATAAAGACATTTGCATTCCAAACTTAAAATAACCTTGCTACGCTCACCTACAAAAAAAAAAAAAATACACAAAACTTTCAATACTCACTACACAAATCATGAGATTACTCATCTTTTGTTCAAACATATCTCAGGTGCGTTTAAAAGAACTGGTGTAGAGAGAGACTTACTCTCTTCCTAAAACAAGACCACTATTGAGCGACTTCCCGTTCCTGTCGTTAAAAGTCATTCGATTCACCTATTGTATAACATTGTAAATAAAAATGTTATTCAAAAATAAGAATAAATTATCATGGAGTATTACCTACGTGAACTATAGGATTATAAACATCAATGGTTATTCAGGAGATGAATAGGAATTAAATACTATAATATTATATAAAAAACWTTATGTACGGTACCGTAATAAATATGCTAMAAATAAATTTTCGATCGATTCAAATTGTTCCATTAAGGAAATGTGTCTATATTGCCTATACAATGCGCCGAATCACGATAAATTTGCTAACGTAACATCACTAATAACCAACACGATTTTGTGGACATCCATAGTCGGGAACTATTTATTTTTTTTCAATTCAATAGACACATCATAATGGTGCGTTATTGTTGTATTCTCAAACAAAGAAAATAATAGGAAACACAATTACTGAATTACGATCCAGTGGTTAGATGAGGTGGCATGATGACGGCAATAAGCCAAAAGTCATGACTCTTGTGGACCCTTCTAGAAATGTCATGAATCTAAAAAC